GCAGTAATGTCATTAACTATTTTTGTTATTTCATCTGACTTTTAGGTTATGGGAATTGAAAAAAATTCGTATTAATATATATATATATTTCAAATGTAATAATTTAAGTTTAAAAACTGTGTAACTCTTGTTGTTAAAGTATATTAGATACCATTTGCTATCTAGATCTGATAAATATTATGAACCGGTTTAAAGCAGGCCAAGGTCCTGCCCCCCATAGCGAGTGTTAGTTTGAAGGTCGGAGTTTCATGTTGTAGAGAAACACACGTGTGTCTGTTGTGGTGAAGAAAGTTGCTTTGTGTGAAGAGAAAATGTGTTGCTGGTGTGGAGGATTACAGTGTTATTCGTGGGGAGAATAAAACTTTGTAACAAACGTTACCGGGTGTGCGTGTATAATTCTGCATAGTATCTGTTCGAATTGATATTTTTGCCCTTCACATAAAAGGAAAACATAAAATATGTAAGAACGAGTGGCTTGTTCGAAATCAAGATAAGAGCAATATTTCATGTCCTATTCTTAATCTTTTAGGATGCCCAGATACAATCCCGGTTCCGGACCGTGGAACTTTACGCTGCTGGCAGCCAGCTGGCGGGGGTGAAGAGCGCTGTAATGTCACTTGCTTGTCATTCCCTAGAAACATAAAACAGAACCCGGATGTACCAACAAGTTTTGTGTGTAACCCGGAAGGAACGTGGGAGCCGCCTTTCGAATGGGGCGTTGTTAAGACACTGGCTTGTCTTAGTGAGTGTGCTTGTTTTCATTGTGCTGTCATCTATGCTAAATTACTCTAACTTATCTTTAAGTTAATCACGTAGGCACATTATTGCTAGCATTTACTCATTCTTATAAAGTAAGTTACTGCAAGGAGGAGGACATCGTTTGTTGAGGATTTTAACTTGGCCTCTTTGTTGGTAACAATTATTCTAAACACATACAGAACTTGCTAGTACTAGTAACTAATGTTGAGACGTTAATGAATTTATTTTGGACCCCCTAAACTTTTGTATCAGTATAAAGCCTTATCCTGAACATTGCTAACCTCTTCTGTGTTGCCAAGCACAGCGAACATAACCATTTGAGGTCCATTCATTACAGCTTTGGAACCACCAAGGAATTATAGACTCATATTTAACGTGGAACATCCAGGAACCTGTGTGGATGATAACTACTTCAAGCCATTTGTCGTGGGTGAGCTGATTAAGTGGCTGAGAGAAGCTGGTTTGTGTCCCGAAGGAGATTTAATTAAGTTATGCCAAAGGTCACAGGTGAAGGTCATCTGTAGGAAGGAGGACAGAAGACGCCGAGACACCCACGAGGGGGATCTTATTGTGAATTTGGCTCTTAATGTGACTTTCTCGTAAGCTTTCTCTCTCTCTCTCTCTCTCTCTCTCCACTAGTCCCATGCATTTTGCCAAATTCTGCGTTTAAAACACTTCTTCTTTGTCATCAGTTTAGTGCCTATGAGTGTTTTGCAGAGTGGGNAAATTTCCACAGACCGGGTCCCCTAACGAAATCATTAAATTTTAATTCTAAGACAACTGACGAGTGATCTGATTTGTAACCAACTTCATATGCTTTGTCATTTCATCTGGCTTTTAGGCCATTGGAATCAAAATAAAATCGTTTTAATATATATTTCAAATGACATAATTCGAGGTCCTGTCCCCCCCCCCCATGGTTGGAGTTTCATGTTGAAGGGAAACGTGTGTCTGGTGTGGGGGAGAAAATTGCTTTGTGGAAGAGAAAATGTGTTGCTTGTTGTGGAGGACGACAGTGTGATTCGTGTGGACAATAAAACTTTGGAACAAACGTTACCGGGTGTGCATGTATAACTCTGCATACTATTTGTTCCACTTGATATTTTTGCGCTAAAAGGAAAACATAAAATATATAAGAACGAGTGGCTTGTTCGAAATCAAGATAAGAGCAATATTTCATGTCCTATTCTTAATCTTGCAGAATGCCCAGATACAATCCCAGTTCCGGACCGTGGAACTTTACGCTGCTGGCAGCCAGCTGGCGGGGGTGAAGAGCGCTGTAATGTCACTTGCTTGTCATTCCCTAGAAACATAAGACAGAACCCGGATGTACCAACAAGTTTTGTGTGTAACCCAGCGGGAAAGTGGGAGCCGCCGTTCGAATGGGGCGTTGTTAAGACACTGGCTTGTCTTAGTGAGTGTGCTTGTTTTCACTGTGCTGTCATCTATGCTAAATTACTCTAACTTATCTTTAAGTTAATCACGTAGGCACATTGTTGCTAGCATTTACTCATTCTTATAAAGTAAGTTACTGCAAGGAGGAGGACATCGTTTGTGGAGGATTTTAACTTGGCCTCTTTGTTGGTAACAATTATTCTAAACACATACAGAACTTGCTAGTACTAGTAACTAATGTTGAGACGTTAATTAATTTATTTTGGACCCCCTAAACTTTTGTGTCAGTATAAAGCCTTATCCTGAACATTGCTAACCTCTTCTGTGTTGCCAAGCACAGCGAACATAACCATTTGAGGTCCATTCATTACAGCTTTGGAACCACCAAGGAATTATAGACTCATATTTAACGTGGAACATCCAGGAACCTGTGTGGATGATAACTACTTCAAGCCATTTGTCGTGGGTGAGCTGATTAAGTGGCTGAGAGAAGCTGGTTTGTGTCCCGAAGGAGATTTAATTAAGTTATGCCAAAGGTCACAGGTGAAGGTCATCTGTAGGAAGGAGGACAGAAGACGCCGAGACACCCACGAGGGGGATCTTATTGTGAATTTGGCTCTTAATGTGACTTTCTCGTAAGCTTTCTCTCTCTCTCTCTCTCTCTCTCTCTCTCCACTAGTCCCATGCATTTTGCCAAATTCTGCGTTTAAAACACTTCTTCTTTGTCATCAGTTTAGTGCCTATGAGTGTTTTGCAGAGTGTGGCCTAGTAGGCCTACTGGTAATAACCCTCTGCTCCGTCAGCATTCTTTATTACATTTAGCAACAATCAACATATACAATCTAAAATCAAAGTAGAAATAAATAAAAACGATATTTTTTTCTATTTTCGTAGCGAGAAAAACAGCACGGATGAGTATCAAAATGTTTTAGCTCTGGCAGAGAATGTGACAAACTTCATCGGCAGCAGTCAGTTTCGGTTTGAATATGGTGGAAGAAATTACACCTTTGGAAATGGATCGTCTGGCAAGGAAGAGACAACTTGTGGTGAAGGGCAGATGAAGGTTCTGGACAAATATTGCGGTAAGTGGAAGTCATATACCCACAGTTTTACAGACTGCTGGAAACCCATCAAGCCTCACCTCGAGTTCAGAGGTTAAGGTATCCTTTCGGATATTCCGCTAAATGGAATTTTCAACGAAAACTCGAGCAATACAGTATACTCCTACTCAGAAATTGGTGTTCGGCCAGTGTAATAAACTTATTTTGTTCCTAACGTCCAGTCTTTTCAGTCTTTTTTACTGTTCAATCTCGAAGGATACTTTTATTTGAAGGTTTTTATCTCTATGTGTTATTATTATTTTCAAAAGTATAATGAAAAGATAACTAGCCTTGCAGGACTGCAGGGTATGTCGACACAAAATATGTTTTTCGGAAATTATTAAACGCGGGTAGGACAGATTTAAATGCAACTGGTAGCTAAAAATGAAAACGGAGTAGGCAACGTCAAGGTAGGGTCATTTTACAAAAAGTTGCAAGTTCAGAATGTTCTCTGTAAATACTTCGTTCAATCCCCAGTCATTTATTTATTGTTTCATTTACTGACTTATATATTAGTTCTGTTCCTTTCTTTGTAGTGAAGTGCCCACCTGGCACGAAATACAACTCTGTCCTTAAAACCTGCTATTCTTGTCCAGCAAACACGTACCAGGAGCGCCGAGGGCAGTCCGTGTGTATCAAGTGTAAAGGGGACAAAACGTCACCGCCAGGGTCATTCAGTCCTTCTGATTGTACGTATTATGAAACTGGATCACTCATTGGATTTTTATTATATTTTTGGGGAGGCTGAGTTAATATTCTAAACAATGTATTAAGACTTTTATGAAAAAAAAAGTGTACACAAAAATGAATCGTGTTTGCAATGATATATCCCCTTGTTCAAAATTGTTGACAAATTTAAGATCTACAGTCATTTTTTTTCGAACTCTGATTAACCATTAAAAGAGAAATTCATCAGTCTCTAGTTAACAGTTTTAGTTCATACCTCAGGTGAAGACACGGCCCTAAGTACAATCCAACCTACAGTGGTTACGACAGCGCGACTGGATCTAATCATTGGCCTGAGTTTCGCCGCCGTTGCGACCGTCATCCTGGTCGCCATCTTGGCTTTCTTGGCATGTCGACGCTGCAGGTACAGCAAGAAGAAGAAGAGAAGGACGCTCTCCCCAGCGCCAGCGGTGACTGACTTTTTGGACTACCATAATGTTGCCTATGATTACGCTAAAGCCTTTTCTGTATCGTATGAGAGAGCGGGGACGAATGACGGTGGGATGCAAAATAGGGGGCCAAGGACTGAACATACATACACANTACTGGTTACCGATAGGTACATAATAGAAAAACTGAAAAAAAACGTATTTTTAGATTTATAGATATAGATACGACGTCCACATAAACCCACGCACTTATAAATCCGCATACCTATAGATCCACGTATTTTTAGATCTAAATACCGATAGATCCATTACAGGTACACTATTGCTCAAAATGGTTGGTATACTACTATTTTTTGGTATACTACTCTTTATACTGCACTTTTTTTAAAACGACAGTACACATATTAATCCTTTCAGCAATTTACTATTCTACTAGATCGTTTTTACGCAATACTAGGGTTATTTACATTACTTATGCATTATCCGACAGAAATTTATGATTTCACTAGATGTTTCGTTATTTTTATGTTACATTCATTTAGTTTTGATTACGATGGCTTCTGACAGGAACCTAAGATTATATTTTCTTTTCATAGCAATTAATCCCAGAGACACCCCCGTCAATTAAGAACTCTGCAAAAGTTGATGAAATAATGTTCAGAGTTTTACTCCACCGACTGCACCGAGACTAAAACCGCCCACCCTCCGTACGTACGGATTTTCTCTTATTGAAATCAAATGCGATTCTAAGCAATTATTTCGAGGAAAAGAAAATCGTACCGTAGATTCTAGGATTCGATCCCGCGTATCAAAGTTTAGCTGTGGGCAAGACGGCGCCGTTACAGCGGAGCCAGAGAAGCTTCGTTGGTAGGTTAATGATCAAATGGAAACTTTCTACGTTATTACACAGAGGGCCAGATTGGCTGTACATGTATATATCGGCCATAACAATCAATAGGCCGTGAGCCGTACATATCTATTTCATTCGCTAGTCTGCTAATATTTTATTATCATCAACGTTGTTAAAGTTCATCATGTAGACGAGCACTTATTCAAGAAGCCGACACGGGGCGTTCCTAGATAGGTTACTTATTTTTTTTTTACTTTGACTTGTTTTATGCTGAGATTTAGTTTGCCTTCACCAATGACGTTGAAGAGCACAATTGGACACTTTTAGTTTTAGCAACCCCATTAGAAGAGGGGATCGTTAAAAAAACTTCAAATATTTATAAACTGATGCGTTTTCCATTCAAGTAATTGCGACGAAGCCAATTTGGAGAAAAATATATTTGGCAAATAATTCTGCCGGGAAGATCCTTTTTTCTGCTGACCGCAGTTTACAGGTGGTATGGCGTTGTGCTTTAACGGGTAAGCCACTGAATCAATTCATGTTGCTTTTATATAAGTCTGCCCGGAACGTTCCTAGTTAGATGATATCAGATGCTGTTATTTTCACTTTGTATTACACGGAGTATACGTTTGACTTCACCAGTTACGTTATGAGGACGATGAGAGCCAAATCGGTTCACAAATTGGGGTTTTTAGTTGTGAGTAGTCTTTGCCATTTCAAACGTCATTCGTATAAAGTAAGTTACTGCAAGGAGGAGGACATCGTTTGTGGAGGATTTTAACTTTGCCTCTTTGTTGGTAACAATTATTCTAAACACATACAGAACTTGCTAGTACTAGTAACTAATGTTGAGACGTTAATGAATTTATTTTGGACCCCCTAAACTTTTCTGTCAGTATAAAGCCTAATCCTGAACTCTGCAAAAGTTCAAACTTTCAAGTTCTTACATTGCTAACCTCTACTGTGTTGCCAAGCACAGCGAACATAACCATTTGAGGTCCATTCATTACAGCTTTGGAACCACCAAGGAATTATAGACTCATATTTAACGTGGAACATCAAGGTACCTGTGTGGATGATAACTACTTCAAGCCATTTGTCGTGGGTGAGCTGATTAAGTGGCTGAGAGAAGCTGGTTTGTGTCCCGAAGGAGATGTAATTAAGTTATGCCAAAAGTCCCAAGTGGAGGTCATCTGTAGGAAGGAGGACAGAAGACGCCGAGACACCCACGAGGGTGATCTTATTGTGAATTTGGCTCTTAATGCGACTTTCTAGTAAGCTCTCTCTCTCCCTCTCTCTCTCTCTCTCTCCACTAGTCCCATGCATTTGCCAAATTCTGCGTTTAAAACACTTCTTCTTTGTCATCAGTTTAGTGCCTATGAGTGTTTGCAGAGAGTCGCCTAGTAGGCCTACTGGTAATAACCCTCTGCTCCGTCAGCATTCTTTTTTACATTTAGCAACAATCAACATATACAATCTAAAATCAAAGTAGAAATAAATAAAAACAATATATTTTTTCTTTTTTCGTAGCGAGAAAAACAGCACGGATGAGTACAGGTGTATCAAAATGTTTTATCTCTGGCAGATAATGTGTCAAACTTCATCGGCAGCAGTCAGTTTCGGTTTGAATATGGTGGAAGAAATTACACCTTTGAAAATGGATCGTCTGGCGAGGAAGAGACAACTTGTCGTGAAGGGCAGATGAAGGTTCTGAACAAATATTGCGGTAAGTGGAAGTCAGATACCCACAGTTTTACAGACTACTGGAAACCTATCAAGCCTCACCTCGAGTTCAGAGGTTAAGGTATCCTTTCGGATATTCCGCCAAATGGAATTTTCAACGAAAACCCGAGCAATACAGTATACTCCTACTCAGAAATTGGTGTTCGGCCAGTGTAATAAACTTTTATTTGAAGGTTTTTATCTCTTTGTGTTATTATTATTTTCAAAAGTATTATGAAAAGATAACTAGCCTTGCAGGACTGCAGGGTATGTCGACACAAAATGTGTTTTTCGGACATTATTAAACGCGGGTAGGACAGATTTAAATGCAACTGGTAGCTAAAAATGAAAACGGAGTAGGCAACGTCAAGGTAGGGTCATTTTACAAAAAGATAATATTGCAAGTTCAGAATGTTCTCTGTAAATACTTCGTTCAATCTCCCAGTCATTTATTTATTGTTTCATTTACTGACTTATATATTAGTTCTGTTCCTCTCTTTGTAGTGAAGTGCCCACCTGGCACGAAATACAACTCTGTCCTTAAAACCTGCTATTCTTGTCCAGCAAACACGTACCAGGAGCGCCGAGGGCAGTCCGTGTGTATCAAGTTTAAAGGGGACAAAACGTCACCGCCAGGGTCATTCAGTCATTCTGATTGTACGTATTATGAAACTGGATCACTCATTGGATTTTTATTATATTTTTGGGGAGGCTGAGTTAATATTCTAAACAATGTATTAAGACTTTTATGAAAAAAAAAGTGTACACAAAAATGAATCGTGTTTGCAATGATATATCCCCTTGTTCAAAATTGTTGACAAATTTAAGATCTACAGTCATTTTTTTTCGAACTCTGATTAACCATTAAAAGAGAAATTCATCAGTCTCTAGTTAACAGTTTTAGTTCATACCTCAGGTGAAGACACGGCCCTAAGTACAATCCAACCTACAGTGGTTACGACAGCGCGACTGGATCTAATCATTGGCCTGAGTTTCGCCGCCGTTGCGACCGTCATCCTGGTCGCCATCTTGGCTTTCTTGGCATGTCGACGCTGCAGGTACAGCAAGAAGAAGAAGAGAAGGACGCTCTCCCCAGCGCCAGCGGTGACTGACTTTTTGGACTACCATAATGTTGCCTATGATTACGCTAAAGCCTTTTCTGTATCGTATNGCTCTGGTGGCGGTAGCAGGCTGCGTCAAGTTCTTGATACCTGAGTGAAGTAGGCAAAAAGGCTTAAACATACATAATTCAACTATTGGAAACTGCGAAGTCGCAATGAATGCCCATGGTTGTAAAATACAGGGGCATTTTCGGGAATACAAACAAGGAAAACCATACACAGGATTTAACATTAAAACAACTCTGAACTTCGCTTCGGTTTACTTAACAACTCACACATCACTGTAACCTAGCCTTAGCTAAAGGTGTTTACAAAACACTTACGTATTAAGGTGATAGTCCATTTTTCCAGAGCTTATTGTTTTCTTGGCTGTCAATGTTCCTCGTTCACTGCCAGCCATTTCAATGAATTCCATGATGAAGGGTCTTGGCCCTTTCTTTTCTTCAGGTCGAAGCCAAGTGAAATTGAGGTTGCCACCAGACACAACACCTTTAACAGATGGGGAGAAGGCACGTTTATTCCCGAGCTAAGTCTACTCAGACAGTTGAAATCACATTTGCAGAATTACTGTAGAGATCTTATGCCTTACAAAAAGTTCCGTTGACAGAATTCCGTCCGCAACAAAATGCTATTTCTTTATCCCGATATGTGTGTTCGCTTACTGACCGTAACTAATCACTACCTGGGTTTTGTTTGATTATGGAAAGAAATCCCGCTTCATCCTTTGCACACAACAATGCCCTGTTAAGAATTCTTCTTGCTGAAAATATGCCGTTCAATTTTGTTAATATATTAATCGTATGGCTAATGTTTTCAGATTGCAGTTTGAACGTAAGGACGAAGTTATGTAAAATACGGGAAAAACATGGAGAAAGATGGAGTGATATGAGTAAACTCACGTAATCCTATCTCTGGCAGATTTTTCTGATATATGCAGTTTGTTGTTTGTATTAAACCATGGCAGTTGAAACTGAATGCGGTCCCTGGGAGGGTTCCTAGAGAAAATACCATTTAACAAGATATAACATATTTGAAAATTATAATGGAATACGAGGTCTGATAAAACGCAATGTTAACCGCTGACGTCATCGCCAAAATGATATTGAACGATGCCATAATCAATGATTAACCAGTCAGAATAGAGGAGGCATACTGTGGAATTAATAAGACGAAAACAATAAGTTGAAATTTCGTGATATTTCGGAAGGTAATGACTTTCAGGTTTTTAATATTACAAATATTACAAATATTACAAAAGGTTAGTCCCCAGTACTGTCTTAATTTTGGTCTGCTATGGAAGGCAGCAAAGATATGCAGATAATAGAAGCCCGTTTCCAGCAAAAAAACAAGGTGTGTTCCTCTGGTGACAAATGATTGGCCGTACCTAGCCTAGTAGGAATCGATACTAAAATGTATTTCTGCGCCATTGGTTTTCTAAGCTATGGGTATTAAA